CCGTCAAGAATCGTTTTTACGTTTCCAGTTCCTTTCAGATCCAGATACAACTCAGCTCAGATCTCCCATTTCGTCGTCAACACCTCATATTCTGCATTTGGACCTAATTGAAAATCTTTTAGTTCTTCTCAGGTTAGTGATCTCTTTGTTTTTTTACCGCAGTTTCCCATCTCTGTCTCTCTTTCAAATCAGTAATAGTTGTTATAAGTTGACCAGTTCATATCTCCCATTTGATGCGAACTTGACACCTTACCAGTTCTTTGAATTTCTGCCATTGAAGAATTAATTAATTGAGGCAATGGAGAGTACTTTTTGCTTGAACTAATTACTTTATAACTAGGGTGAAAATTAATTAGGATGTAGTGGGGGTAGGGGTCAGAGCAATCTCCAACTTTACTGAATCACTTGATCTTATGATTCAAGAATCGGCCCGAGAGTGGTTGAGAACAAGATAAATATGTAGTTTTGAGCTTATACTCAGAATCCTTTTCAGGTTAAGTCCAGGATTATCAGGAATTGTTGCTATTATCATTTAAGGACTTCTAAAAGTGAAGCTAGCCAAGATTTGCATTATTCTGAGATACTAGCAACCCAATTTTTTTTTTTTTTTTTTTNTTAAAAAATTTATAATCGAATAAAAAAGGATCGAAAAGATTAATTTATGTTTTTTAAATATGACAGGGTTTGAAGGATACTCTAATTTCGAATTCAGAATTTGTAAAACGAATTAGGAGGATTGAAATATATTTGATAAAGGGTTTACTAAATTTCAATATTAGAGTAATAACGTCTCCAATTTAATCAAAATAATAATTATTATTATTTCCATATATAGTGGAAAAAAGGAAAATCTTACGTGTCAAACATTCTTATAAGGATCCAAAGTGTCAAACTCAACTATCCTTCTTTTTTTAAAAAAAAAGAAAAAGAAAAACAATCTCTTAATTTGTAATTAAATTAGAATTTTTAATGTTTATAAAAATTAATTACCGCCATCTATATAAAGCAGAGCTGAGCAAAAACAAAAACCATTAGCTCATTTTAGTTCTTCCCATTATAAATTCTATCTCCTCTTGCGGCTTCTAGACTAATCCTTTTACCCATATTTGATATTCAATGGCCAAGACTCAAGCCAGTCTCCTCCTTCAGAAGCAACTCAAAGGTCAAAAACCCACCAAATATCTGTATTTGTTGCTTAAAAACTTGTCAAGTTTTTGTTTTTCATTTCTTTTTATTTTTTATTGAAAACGGTTGATTGTTTTTGCAGATCTTTGTAAGAACCCAGTTGATGGATTCTCTGCTGGTTTGGTTGACGAGTCCAATATTTTCGAATGGAGCGTGTCCATTATGGGACCTCCTGATACTTTATAGTGAGTTTTTTTTTTTTTTTTAATTATTTGTTTTGTGATTAAAGATTGGATTATTAGGTTAAATATTTGATTTTGATTTGTGGGTTTGTGTTTGATGATGATTTGCTTTGTTATTTTATCATGTTTCTGATTTAGTTTTTGTTTCAAGTAAATTTGATTCAAGAATGCATGGATTGCAACAATTGGCGAGTTGGCAAGAGCAAAGTTTAAAGGGTTTGGTGAGTGATGATTGGGAAGAGAATGTGGTGGTATAAGGTAGCAATAATGTCAAATCTATGTGTTCTTAATTGATTGGGGTTTCAGAAATTAAAGAGATGATTCATCTCTCTTTTATCTCAACAACAATGCAATAACTTGTTTAATCTTGATCTATGTGGATGATATCCTCGTTACAGGTAATAATTTATCACAAACTTATTCACTTATTGAATCAAAAGTTGCTCTTAAGGACTTGGGGTTAATCACATTTCTCAAAATTTACGTAACTCGAGATGATATGGGCTCTATCTCACTCAAAGCAAATCATAAAAGACTTGGGGAGAAACATTTTTCCACCAAGGTTTGGCCTAAAGACACTTTCCTACCTGAAAACAAAACGACAATTTTCCACCCATTGTTAAGATCTTTAAGTAAAATCTGTTAACAACATGGTATAAACAGTGTAAAGACAAAAATACCCTTCACTCCTCTTCTCTTTCTATGTATTTTCTTCTTTATCACCTTTCTTCTTTCTCCCTCCTCTTTCTCTCCCTCTTCTCTTCTCCAAGACTCTATTTTGCTCAAACTTTGGGAGTGATCTGGTCGCTCTTTGCCCAGGTCGTGGCGATCACAATCTTGCGCCGCTTGTGTAGATCATTCCGGCATGATGTGGCCAAGCGAAGCTAGATCATGGTCACCCAATTTGATTGTTTGTGATGAGTTGTTTGTGGAAAAAAAATTGAAATGAATTGTCGAATATTTGGTGACGGATTTTTGTTTGTGAAAGGGGGATTGTGATGGGTTTGGTTGCTATAAAAAAACTAGTAATTTGAAGCCAAGGGTGGAGGACGTGGTAAAGGTGGAGGCTTGGAGTTGGGGGTGGTGATGGTGGCGAGGCTAGAGGTGGAGTGGTTGGTGGAGTAGGAGGAGGTGGAGGTGGAGTTGGTGATGGGTCTGGCCATGATGGAGGCTTTGGTGATGGAGGAGGTGTGGGTAGTGGTGGTGGAAAATGAGAAGCTAAGAAGTTAGGTGTGGATTAGGTGGAGGATCTAGACATGAGGGTGGCTTTGGTGTTGGTGGGTGTAAGATGCGGGGTTGGTAGAGGCATAGGTAGTGGAGGAGTAGCTTAAGCGAGGGTAGAGGGGGAATAGGTGAGGATTCAGGTCAGGTGTGGGCTTGGAGTCGGTGGAGGCAGAGGTGAAGAAGAAAACAGAAGGAGAAAAGAGGTGGCGAAGGAGAGAAAGAAGAACAAGAAGAAAAAGAGAGAAGGGTATTTTCATCTTTACACTGTTATTTCATGTCAGTTAACGGATTTTACTAGCAAATCTTAAATATGGGTGGGAAAGTGTCGTTTTGAAACTTTTTGAGTGGGAAGTGTCTTTATGCCAAACCCTGGGTGCGAAAATGACATTCTCCAAAGACATGTGACAAAGAGTCAAGATGGACAACCTAAAACCTTGCCCAACATCAGCCCATATTGGACGAACTTTGCCCACCCTTGCAAGAACCTACAACACTTTATAGAAGTGCCATTGGTGCACTACTCATACACGGCATTTTTCATTTATTGGTGACACATGTAGATGCACCGAGTACTAAACACTAAACCCAAATCAATTATCATCCGTTTACCTCTCAAGTTAAAATAATAATAACAATAAATAGATAATAAAATTTGATTTTTTTTTAAAATTAAAGACTACTATTGTGTAAACATAAACCTTAAACTGATAGTGGATTTGTATAGAAGTATACCAAAACTATATGACCTCTAAAACAAACTTTTTTTTTTTCTTTGTAAATGTGACTTTTCATTGTGATCAAATACAAATTTGAAGATTAATTAATATTAAAAGCTCAAACAAGTGAAGAAATGGGCATTATAATGACCTCTAATTCAGAAGCAACTTTTCCATTTCTAAATTGATAAAAGTTTATTGTTTCTCTAAAAAGCAAAAGTGAAAAATTATGGATAAATAAGTAAAGGAGTTCTTGGCATGATTTGCATATATGCTTAATAATTTGTAGCAATTCTCCCCATGTGAGATATGATAAAACCAAAAAAACATGGCTTTATATAAATAAATAAATAAATAAAATAAAATAAGGAATAAAGGGAGGCATGCCTTAGCTATTGACTCTAGCAAAATAAGTGAATAAAATTCCATGCAAAACCCATTGAGATCTCATCAAAATTCATTTTCTTAAGTTTGTCCAACCATCTACCACGTCTCATATCTTTGCTCATTGAGTGGTGCATATCCAAGATCCTATTCAAAGCAAAATCAATTAATTATTCATTGCTTCTGACCATATGAGGATTAGTGAACAATTACAAAATGTAGCGCAGAAGAAACTGGAAGTGCAACAGTTGGCTTCTAAGTACCAACGCTTGCGATCGACATACAGGTCTTGGCGTATGCTAATAGAACATACAGGGTTTAGTTGGGATCATGAGTCCCAAACTCCAAATGTCCTAAAGAGATATGGGAAGAATATATAAAGGTAAACAACATTTTCTTTTTTCCAATTCTTATAACGCAGTAGTCGGTATGCACTTTTTGTTTTGGGAAAATATAAATTAATGTATGTTTGTTTTTCAATAACAGCAAAACCTTGGTGCACAGCAATTCCTACATAAAGGACGTGTTGATAGAGAGTTATATGAGGTCATATTCCAAAAGCAAAATGCATCTGGCGGATTTGCTTTCACATCTGCATCTGAACCTGCGGCATCCACCATGTGTTTTTCTGATCCTACCAAGGCAGACATGAATCAAGATGACTTCGATCCTGATCCAGAAGATCAACTGGAGAAAAAACGATCAAATAGGTCTGGAGATAGTAGATCCTAAATAGGAGGAGAAGGAGAGACGGGGAGGGAAACCCATTTTTGGGTGTGATGACTCAGTTGGCAGAAGCTATTTCCAATAAGACTATGGGATCTGCAATATCAACTCGCAGTGGCGGTGATGGGACCCAAGAGAACACAAGTGATAGGACGGATCGATATTCCATGGAAAATTGTCAGGCAATTTTGGAAAGTATGCAACTTCCACCACAACTATATTTAGATGTTGTGAAGTACTTAATTGTCAACCCAGAGTGGCGTCAGCTTATGGTGAACATGTCACATGCAAACAGGGAATTTTGGGTTTATAATGATATCCGTCGTACGTAGATGACGGTTTAGGACTTCTACCCATTCTTTAAGGTACTTAATTATTTTTAATTAGTTGATAGTTAAGTTCATTGTTTCATAATTGTTGTTCGTCTTCACATATTACTAAAATGCAATTTTGTCAACAGGACTGTCTTGGAGCGATTGACGGTACACATATACGTGGGTCGACGCCAGTTGAGGTAACTGATACGTATCAAAATCGTAAAGGGGCATTGTCACAGAATGTGATGGCCATCTGAGACTTCAATATGTTGTTCACATATGTCGTCACTGGTTGGGAAGGATCTGCCCATGACATAAGGATTCTAAATTTAGTTCTAGATGATCCTGATTCGGGTTTCCTGCATCCTCCTCCAGGTATAACTAACTTGTTTATGTACTATAGCTAAACTATAAACATTTTTTTATTGATTCTTCAAATAACATTCAGTTATTCATTATAGGCAAATATTACTTAGTAGATGCGGGTTATGCGAACAGAGATGGGTTCCTTATCATGTTCCCGATGCTTGTCGTAACCTTTTGGGACCTATGGAGTTGTTTAAATACAAACATGCATCGCTTCGGAATGTTGTGGAGAGGACCTTTGGTGTTTTTAAAAAAAGGTTCCGCATTCTTGATGGCATGAATAATTACCCGTTGCAGAAGCAAGCTAACATTGTTATGACATGTTGTGTAATTCATAATTTTATCATAAGGTTCTATACGAACTACCCTATCTTCCAAAGGTTTAATGGGAATGGAGTTTCTGAGGAAGGAAATGGGACGGGTTCGAATCGATATAGACTATATGGCTCCTTTGGTTCAGTTTTTAAAAAACTTCAATGCTTTTCTCAATAAAGGTAACAGTAAACGTTGCGTTTGGTTTATATATCCAGCAAAGATTCTCAATATTACTCAGTATTTTTTTGACCGTTTGTGAATTTTTTGCTATTATTTCGCCCAACAACAACTGACATCTTTAATGCATCTTCTTCTTTTTATTTACTGCACACACCCGTGACTTCCTCTCGCTCATCCACAAGCAAGCACAAAACACACTAAAATAACGTTTCCTCCTTCTTGCCCACTGCTACTGAGCAGAGCCGTGAATCATTTCCCCTCTCTCAGTCCATCAACCAAGTACAGAGCACCATTTTTCTTTTTCTTCTTCTTCACTGAAAATTTAGATCATACAACAAAGTTTCAGACTCAGCCCAAACCCATAGAACACTTTCTCCATCCTGCCGTCAAGAATCGTTTTTACGTTTCCAGTTCCTTTCAGATCCAGATACAACTCAGCTCACGTCTCCCATTTCGTCGTCAACACCTCATATTCTGCATTTGGACCTAATTGAAAACTTTTAGTTCTTCTCAGGTTAGTGATCTCTTTGTTTTTTTACCGCAGTTTCCCATCTCTGTCTCTCTTCAAATCAGTAATAGTTGTTATAAGTTGACCAGTTCATATCTCCCATTTGATGCGAACTTGACACCTTACCAGTTCTTTGAATTTCTGCCATTGAAGATAATTAATTGAGGCAATGGGAGTACTTTTTGCTTGAACTAATTACTTTATACTAGGGTGAAAATTAATTAGGTGTAGTGGGGGTAGGGGTCAGAGCAATCTCCAACTTTACTGAACACTTGATCTTATTTCAAGAATCGGCCCGAGAGTGGTGAGAACAAGATATATGTAGTTTTGAGCTTTACTCAGAATCCTTTTCAGGTTAAGTCCGATTATCAAATTTTTGCTATTTCTTTAAGACTTCTAAAGTGAAGCGCCAAGATTTGCATTATTCTGAGATACTAGCAACCCAATTTTTTTTTTTTTTTTTTTTTGGAAGAACTAAACAAAGAGGTGAAAGAGAATGAATAACTCCAACCCTTTTTTTTTTTTTTTTTTTGACTAATTTGATTCAGTCCTTTGTCATAGTAATTTGTGACGTGGGAACAATATGGGAGGTATATACTCAACCACTATATATATAGTGGATACACTGTTTTAAAAAAATAAATACAATGACATACATTGTTATAAATACCAATTGATGAAGCATATATTTACGTAATGGTGTGCAATACCTATGCAACACTTAATTGCAACATGAATTCAACATATTATAATTGTGAAACTTGATAAATGGACTTTGCTATGTGTTGTGTAAGCCTATGGAATATATTAGATTATTTTGTAATTTTTTATATGGTGAAATTGAGACAGTTTAGGGTGTTTATGATGCATAATTACTGCATAAATGCATTTGGACCATGTTGGTTGAGTCAATGAAAGCTACATTTAACAATTATTAATTGCTATGGCGAAGTTGATATATAGACTGAGAAAAAAACTCAATTTACATTATCAGTAGTTGGTTTGAATTTGGTACTTTGCTTTGTTTACTCACTGAAATTGTTATTTAATATAGGTACTATTTTTGCTGCCTAATTTGGAGAAACTGATCTCTGTTAATGATGCTTTCTTCAAGTTTTGTACGGATGAAATCCTTCATGCTGCAATTTATTGATGTTACTAGAAAATTACATCTGTCTCAAAACATTTTTAGATCATTCATGCTGCATTTTTTTATATGAGGTGGCCTTGCAGTTGATCATAACGTGGGACAAGGAACTGGTACAGATTTTCCTTGCTTGATGAAGCCTATTCAACCCCCTCATGCACTATTTTCTTATTCTTCCAGCAAACTAATCAATGGTTTGAAGGGTATGATTTGTCTAACTTATGTATTAATCATTTTGTAGGTTATAACTGCAAGTTCATCGCAATAGCTACTTGCAATGCCATGAACAAATTACATGTCACTTAGCCCACCAACGCAGAATTGATCATTACTTTCAACGCCAGAAGACATTTCGACGTTTATCGGAATTGGGGTACACAAAAGACCTTATTGTCTACCTTGACCGTCATGTCCCCCGTACTTTCCGTTGAAAGCAGTGTTGGGTCAAACGTAATTTTCTGTATGTTTTGTTTATAATGTTATAGTTTGCAATGTCATATTATATGTATCCTAATTGTTACAATATTTCAATCATGATGTTGTTCTCACCCTACTATTATTAGATGTGAGTCTATTCAATGGACTGTTGAACTCACCCTAGGTTTTTAGAACTGTTGGCTGAGCGGTGAAAACAACCCATAGTACTGCAATAAGATTTGGTCTCAAAGAAAAAATTAATTAGTTTATCTTTTTATGTTCTTCTTTGTTGATAATGGAGCAGAGATTGCTAAAACTCTATTTTCTTTACAAGTTATTTTCAGTTTTACTTCATATGAATTCCTTTATGCAGTAAATTGATTTGTATAAGTCATCACTAAATGAAATATGATTTATCATGACACAACAATCGCATGATTCATGTACACCAACGTTACGACACTTTTCACTAAATTATTGTATTATGTCCATCAATGTCATCCTATTCCGATGCCGAACAAATGCGTCAATTCCAAAAAATGTAATACTGACACATTAAGTTGAAGGTGCCCTATACCTTTTCAGTTCGCCAACATCACAACACAAAAAACTGTCGTAAGGAGAAACTAATATATGTATATGTGTTAATCATTAACGTCCTTGAGTTGAAGCCAAGTCTTGAAAAGAGATAGAGTATATATGTTTATCAAAGGTTATGACATAACCATATGCTAAACAAAACGAATAAAAAAACAAAGAAGATGATTTGGCAAAACTTTATAAAATTGAAATTCTTAAAAGAGTTAACGACTTTTTCCCTCCCAAATAATGGCTTAATGACACTTTTCTACCCATAAACTTTTAAAATATTATTTTACTACCCAAATTTATATTTTGTTTACTACCCAAAATATTTTGCAACGAACAGAGAGCAAACTTGTTCTAGGCTATTAGTGCTTTTAAAGGGGGGAGGTTAGTGAGTCTTTTGGGGGTGGCAGGTTGGATTTTGGTGTTCGTGATTGGTTAAAATTTGACTTGAGAGGGATGGCTGCACAAACCATAATCGCTTGATTGCCGACGATTGGCGAGTTGGCTAGAGCAAAGTTTGAAGGGTTTTGGTGAGTGATGATTGGGAAGAGAATGGTGGTGGTATAAGGTAGCAATAATGTCAAATCGATGTGTTCTTAATTAATTGGGGTTTCAGAAATTAAAGAGATGATCCATCTCTCTTTTATCTCAACAACAATGCAATAACTTGTTTGATCTTGATCTATGTGGATGATATCCTCGTTACAGGTAATAATTTTATTCACAAACTTATTCACTTATTGAATCAAAAGTTGCTCTTAAGGACTTAGGGTTAGTTCACTATTTTCTCAAAATTTACGTAACTCGAGATGATATTGGGCTCTATCTCACTCAAAGCAAATACATAAAAGACTTGGGGAGAACGATATTTTTCCACCCAAGGTTTGGCCTAAAGACACTTTCCTACTCGAAAACAAAACGACAATTTTCCACCCATTGTTAAGATATTTTAGTAAAATCTGTTAACTAACATGGTATAAACAGTGTAAAGACAAAAATACCCTTCACTCCTTTTCTTTTTTCTTATGTTATTTTCTTCTTTATCACCTTTCTTCTTTCTTCTTTCTCCTCCTTCTCTTTCTCTCCCTCTTCTCTTCTCCAAGACTCTATTTGCTCAAACTTTGGCGAGCTGATCTGGTCGCCTCTTGCCCAGGTCGTGGCGATCACAATCTTGCCGCCGCTTGTGTAGATCATTCCGGCATGATGTGGCCAAGCGAAAGCTAGATCATGGTCACCTGATTTGATTGTTTGTGATGAGTTGTTTGTGGAAAAAAAATTGAGATGAATTGTTGAATATTTGGTGACGAAGATTTTTGTTTGTGAAAGGGGGATTGTGATGGGTTTTGGTTGCTATAAAAAAACTGGTAATTTGAAGCCAGGGGTGGAGGACGTGGTAAAGGTGGAGGCTTTGGAGTTGGGGGTGGTAATGGTGGCGGGGCTAGAGGTGGAGGTGGTAGTGGTGGAGTAGGAGGAGGTGGAGGTGGAGTTGGTGATGGGTCTGGCCATGATGGAGGCTTTGGTGATGGAGGAGGTGTGGGTAGTGGTGGTGGAAAATGAGAAGCTAAAGAAGTTAGGTGTGGATTAGGTGGAGGATCTAGACATGAGGGTGGCTTTGGTGTTGGTGGAGGTGTAAGATGTGGAGTTGGTAGAGGCATAGGTGGCGGAGGAGTAGCTTTAAGCGAGGGTAGACGAGGAATAGGTGAGGATTCAGGTCATGGTGGTGGGCTTGGAGTCGGTGGAGGCAGAGGTGAAGAAGAAAACAGAAGGAGAAAAGAGGTGGCGAAGGAGAAAGAAGAACAAAGAAGAAAAAGAGAGAAGGGTATTTTCATCTTTACACTGTTTATTTCATGTCAGTTAACGGATTTTATTAGCATATCTTAAATATGGGTGGGAAAGTGTCGTTTTGAAACTTTTTGGGTGAGAAAGTGTCTTTATGCCAAACCTTGGGTGGGAAAATGATATTCTCCCAAAGACCTGTTACAAAGAGTCAACATGGACAACCTAAAACCTTGCCCAACATCAGCCCATATTGGACGAACTTTGTCTACCCTTGCAACAACCTACAACACTTTATAGAAGTGCCATTGGTGCACTACTCATACACGGCATTTTTCATTTATTGGTTGACACATGTAGATGCACCGAGTACTAAACACTAAACCCAAATCAATCTTATCATCCGTTTACCTCTCAAGTTAAAATAATAATAACAATAAATAGATAATAAAAAATTGATTTTTTTTTTTTAAATTAAAAGACTACTATTTGTGTAAACATAAACCTTAAACTTGATAGTGGATTTGTATAGAAGTATACCAAAACTATATGACCTCTAAAACAAATTTTTTTTTTTCTTTGTAAATGTGACTTTTCATTTTGTGATCAAATACAAATTTGAAGATTAATTAATATTAAAAGCTCAAAACAAGTGAAGAAATGGGCATTATAATGACCTCTAATTCAGAAGCAACTTTTCCATTTCTAAATTGATAAAAGTTTATTGTTTCTCTAAAAAGCAAAAGTGAAAAATTATGGCATAAAATAAGTAAAGGAGTTCTTGGCATGATTTGCATATATGCTTAATAATTTGTAGCAATTCTCCTCCCATGTGAGATATGATAAAACCAAACCAAACATGGCTTTATTATAAATAAATAAATAAAATAAAATAAAATAAAGGAATAAAGGGAGGCATGCCTTAGCTATTGACTCTAGCAAAATAAAGTGAATAAAATTCCATGCATAAACCCAATTGAGAATCTCATCAAAATTCATTTTCTATAAGTTTTGTCCAACCATCTACCACGTCCTCATATCTTTGCTCATTGAGTGGTGCATATCCAAGATCCTATTCCAAAAGCAAATATCAATTAATTATTCCATTTTTTAAAAATTTATAATCGAATAAAAAAGGATCGAAAAGATTAATTTATGTTTTTTAAATATGACAGGGTTTGAGGGATACTCTAATTTCGAATTCAGAATTTGTAAAACGAATTAGGAGGATTGAAATATATTTGATAAAGGGTTTACTAAATTTCAATATTAGAGTAATAACTTCTCCAATTTAATCAAAATAATAATAATTATTATTTCCATATATAGTGGAAAAAAGGAAAATCTTACGTGTCAAACATTCTTATAAGGATCCAAAGTGTCAAACTCAACTATCCTTCTTTTTTTAAAAAAAAAGAAAAAGAAAAACAATCTCTTAATTTGTAATTAAATTAGAATTTTTAATGTTTATAAAAATTAATTACCGCCATCTATATAAAGCAGAGCTGAGCAAAAACAAAAACCATTAGCTCATTTTAGTTCTTCCCATTATAAATTCTATCTCCTCTTGCGGCTTCTAGACTTCTCCTTTTACCCATTTTTGATATTCAATGGCCAAGACTCAAGCCAGTCTCCTCCTTCAGAAGCAACTCAAAGGTCAAAAACCCACCAAATATCTGTATTTGTTGCTTAAAAACTTGTCAAGTTTTTGTTTTTCATTTCTTTTTATTTTTTATTGAAAACGGTTGATTGTTTTTGCAGATCTTTGTAAGAACCCAGTTGATGGATTCTCTGCTGGTTTGGTTGACGAGTCCAATATTTTCGAATGGAGCGTGTCCATTATGGGACCTCCTGATACTTTATAGTGAGTTTTTTTTTTTTTTTTAATTATTTGTTTTGTGATTAAAGATTGGATTATTAGGTTAAATATTTGATTTTGATTTGTGGGTTTGTGTTTGATGATGATTTGCTTTGTTATTTTATCATGTTTCTGATTTAGTTTTTGTTTCAAGTAAATTTGATTCAAGAATGCATGCCCTTTTGTGTTTGATGAATAGTTTTTGATTCTTTTGGTTTGATAAATTTATTTAATTGTTGAATATATTGTTGTAGTGTTTTTGGTAATTGATATGTTTATTGATATCACTATTTGATTGAATTTGGTGTTGGTTCTGTGTGATTCTTTCCAAGTTATAGGTTTTCCTTGGGCACTCTATGGAGATAATTGATTGATTATTAAATAAGCTATCATTGGAATGTCTTTTGTTTGATCTTCATTTATAAGTTTGCTTAGTAAGAATTGGTTATTGGTTTATGGTCTTAAGGATGCTTTATTTTCAGGTGTGTGGTATATTTAAGTAGGGTTTAGTATTGTAACTGTGGTTTCTGCAATATAGGGATGACTTAACGATCCTCTGGTTGATATAACTTTGACTCAGTTGTGAGTCCTTCAATCTTTTTTGATCTGGTCACATGCAAACTTAGGTTTTTTCAACTTTCCTTCGTGTTATTTAGGTTGTTTATTTCAGTCAAGAATAATGCTTTAATTCTACTGTTTATTTGAATTGAAAAATAAAAACATTGTGTCTTTTAGACAAGAGTAACGCTTCAATTCAAATGTTTATTTGAATTGAAAAATAAAAGCATACCGAGAAATAGAGCGGAATATATGCCATTAATGAAATGCGAGCTATGTTATTTATCAACAATTATTGTTTTGCAGTGAGGGGGGTTTCTTCAATGCCATAATGACTTTTCCCTACAATTACCCTGTGAGCCCTCCAACCGTGAGGTTTACATCCGAGTTATGGCATCCTAATGGTCGGTATCTGTTTTTTGCTCTTTTAAGTTTGAATTTTATTTGATTTTATTTTGAGTTGAGCAAGGTGCTAAAGGTTGCTGTCCCAAACTATAGTTTACCCTGATGGAAGGGTTTGCATATCAATTCTTCATCCACCTGGTGATGACCCAAATGGCTATGAGCTTGCAACTGAGCGCTGGACTCCAGTACATACGGTATTGTGATTGAATTGTTATAATTTTCTCTTTACTTGTCACCAGTGTTTATGGTTTCTGTTGTGAATGTAATGCTTGTTGTTCCATGTTTCTGCTTGTTTGGTTCTATTTGTATACATTTATTTGGTTTTTGATTGTCTATGTTCTTAGTTTGTTTTGATGTAAAGATTACAGTATCATAGTAGCAAGCCAGGTAATTTACTAGTACTGTTTAATTGGTGTGTGAAGTTGTCTCCCTTGTCTTGTGTGAAGTTCTATTTTTTTCTGTTGATGTTTAAAGAATATAACATCTAATCATTTGAAGGCTGCAAGTGTTCGGGGAATTGTCACTTGGAGTTCTGAATTACCCATGATTCATGGATAAAGATTAGTGCTGGAGAGATACACATATGGTAACCCTTTGCATTAATGCTTATTATTAGTGCACTCTGTGGCTTGGCCATCTGATGGCAGTTGTGATTGGCAGTGAATCTTGGTGGTGACCAACCGTAACAGAAACTTGAGATCACTGCACAGCTATGACGGGCTCAACCCTGGCCCAGATTGAGGTTTTGTTTCTAAACCCAAGCACAACTCTAGTTTAGGAGAGATTGCTTGAGTTGGTTGGGTTGGATTGTAATATTGCACAGAACAAACTAATGGATTGTTTTAATGCCAAGTGTCAATTAGTGAAAGAGAAGAACGTTATCCTCAGGCAAACTGAGTTTTTGTCTTTGTCTTAAATTCCTTTTACATGCTGGCAGTGATTTAAGGACCTCCAAAGAATAGTAGCATAGGCCGTTGTAGGTCATTGACCTCAATCGTAGAGAACATGCCATTTTGGATACATCATAGAAGAAACACCAAAATGAAGGCACAAGAAGGAAAGGTTGTAGAAAAGAAGTGCGCATGATTTCGAAGAACCAGCAAATGCATTGATCTGAAGGGAGGGCAGCTGAATGCACCAGTTAAACTTCTGTTGGTTGCTTGCAAGAAGAAAAGTTGAGATGGAAAAAGGCTGCACTTCTATAAATTCATAAAATGCTAAAACTGTCTCAGCTAATATGCAGTACATATTTTGTTTTCCTGTTTAGGAACTATATATTGACCTTTTGAAGATTGAAACCTACTGAACTTAAAGGAATATTACCATGCTATTGTTTCAAGTATGTTGCAGGTTTTCTTGCCCTCTAGAGATGCGCAAGTTTTGTATTTCTGCTGATATGTTGTGTCCTACACTAAACTGTTTCACACTCTTCTGCTGCTTAACTGACTTTGTGTGTGAATTTTGTTAGTTTTACGTTGCTCACTGATGGCTGTTGAATGCAGGTTGAGAGCATAGTTTTGAGTATTATCTCAATGCTTTCCAGCCCCAATGATGAGTCTCCCGCAAATGTTGATGCTGCGGTAAGTCACGAAAAATGCAACTCAAACTTTATGCCGATGCATTTGCCTTATTAATTTTGAATTGGTCTCTTTAAGTTGCCATACCCCATTGCTGATTCTTTGTATTCTTTCCCAATTGGACAAGTGCAGAAAGAATGGAGAGAAAGAAGGGATGACTTTAAGAAGAAAGTAAGTCGCTGTGTGAGAAAATCACAAGAAATGCTATAACCTAAATTCCATAGCGGCAATTGGTTGCTACAAATGCATATGCATATCTAAGAACATCATACTTTCTTCATTGGTGGCCAACAGAGACAAACAATAATATGCAGCGTGTAGAACTCAAACTAAAGTTTTTGTTTTCTAGCTATTATAACTCTTACCCATTTTGCATTTAATCAATATAAACATTCTGATATTTTACGTGTTGCTTTATAGTAACTGGTTTGTTCTTAAACCTCTACTTCTCTGGTGATCTCATTATTCTCTTCCAACAATTTCAGCATTTCATTCATTAAAACATGAACTCCACTTCTAAGATTTTGATTGGATAGCTCTATTTTTCATAGTCAGAAGTGAGAAATGAACTGGCGTCTTGACTAATAAGCACATGCCCCAATTTCTCTAGTGATTCATAAAATTTGTTTTACTAAAAGAATTCCAAGAGTAATGTGACGGGCATCAAAAATCACAAGCCACGCCTCCATTGTTGAATTATTGTCTAAATAAAATTCAATTATTACGTACCAAATTGTCTAAAACATTAGCAATTTTGGCAGCATTATTGTCGGCTTCCAGGAATTGACTGATTGTTTTGAATCTTAGAAACTGTGTTAGAGAATGAGCGATGGTGAATTTTTGAGGTTGCGTATTTCATATTTTATTTCTCTATTTATTTAGTTTGATAAATTGGTTTAGTTATTTAATAAAATAAATTCTTTTAAGAGAAAAAGAAAAAGAGACTTTCTGTCTTTAAAGTTCCATTTACAAGAGAAGCCTTGACAAATGCCGAAACGGAAGGACGAAAAGCAAAGCCTCAAATGATCCACACTTGACAAACAAAAAGACTATAGACAAGAAATAACACCAAACCAAACATATCTTATTCCTTGCTCTGCTAACTCAACCTCCTTTGAAGGCGATGATTTGACTTGGAGAGAACAACCGATCGTTTGAGAGGAAGAGTGGCGTGAGAGGGTTCTCATGGGGCAGAAAAGGAATGGAAACCCTACTAAAGCAAGAATGAGTTTGAAATCAAAATATGTTATAAGAAAGAGACAACCAATTCAAGCATGCAAAGCCTCCAAAAACATACCTTTCTTTCTATCTTTTTTGGGTATTTGCAGGGAGTTCATGGTTAGTTGAAATGATACCCGTCTCCATGGATAAGCATTGCAGAAGTCCATGTTGCTTGTAAACTTCACCCAATCCATATTAACGGCTTTTGTTGAGTCTGAAGCCATTAGGATCGAATGAACGAACCATACCAGACACATCTTGAACCTCTCTGAAGAGATAAACCCAACTTCTCCTAGCCTCTCCTCTAAATCGCGTCCTATAATAGACGCCTTCCCCCAGCAAACAAAAGAGATCAAAACAACCAATAGGCTGACAATTTGGGAGATATGGCCTTCGAAGGCATCGAGGAGTGGGTGTTTTTGGCCTCGATAGGACCAAAGAAGCTAATGCAAGCCCTACAAAGCCTGTTGTGGCAGGTTTCATGAGGTTGGAGGCTGAGGATGGCAGGAGGTGGCAGAATAGAGGGGCTGGGGGGTTGCCCTGCATCTCCAGCCCCCCTATTCCGCCACCTCCTGCCATCCCCAACCCTCAAACCTCCCACAAATAACCTCCCTACGGCCGCCCTTGCCTTCCCCCATCCTTTGGAACCCAAACAAAGCCACTTTCCTCATGCCCGCTAACTGCTCGACAAAACGTCACAACCATCATAACAATAAAATCAACTACATATCCCTCAAATTCGCACAAATCAATCAAATTTTTCATCAAATTCGTACCCTTTCTTCATCACTGTCCTCCTCATTGCCTGAATATTCGTCAGCGTCCTCCTCTTCAGAACCATTTCCCGATTCTTCTTTCTTTTCTTATGCCACCGTTGTCTCATCTGCCTCTAGACTACCTTGACTAATTGGATGATCCACCGAAGCGTCTTCTTCTACAGCCTTTGAACTGTTGGCGCCGCCAGAGTCAAGGATTCGAAGTGGGGTTGAGTTTTTTTCCTCTTTGTGGATGTCAGCCATAGTTTTGTGTAAGGAAACTTTAGAATCGAATATTTGCCGAAATTAAGGCACTATCGTCGTTGGAAATCGCAGAGAAACGAAATGTGTTTATCGATCGTTTTTTGGGTATATGACTCGATTAAGCGATTTTGAAGGGTGGAGGCTTGTTTTCAAATTTCAAAATTTAAACAAACTTCCGTTAATTATGATTTTATCCACATATGTTTAAATTTTTTCAGTTTAATCCGTTCTACATGTTTAATGAATCCTAAATATGCCACATCAGCTTTTCTAAATTAAACAATATTCAAAAATATTTTTGGCTTCGTTTGGTTCAAAATTTGGGGGTTTTGGGAAAATTTTTTTAAAAAAGTTAAAAAAAAGTTGAATTGGGCGGATATTACGATGTAGAATTTATAAATTAATAAAATACCCTTTATGTTTGTTTTTTTACAAAATACCCCCTATAATAAAACATTAAAAGTTAACAAAAATACCCCTAACCCACCCTCAAACACCCCCAGCCGGCGACCACCACCGGAGGTGGCCGGAGTCGCCGTATGGGCGCATGACCGGTTGGATCTTGCTGGTCATGCGTCGATATGGCCTTTTCCGGCCAGATCCCACGATGGATCTGGTCGGAAAAGGCCAGATTACGGTCAGATCTGGCCGTCAACGGCCAGATCGGCCGTATTTGCTCTCACGACGGCAACAAACGGTCGTCGTTGATGGTCAACGACGACTGTTGTTGGCCGTCGTGACCGAGTGTTCCGGCCAAATCCACCATGGATCTGGCCGAAAAAGGCTAGATCGGTGCACTACCGGTCAGATTCAGCCGGTAGTGCGCCATCCTACCAGATTCCGATCATTTAGTAGTAGTAGCCGGAATCTGGTAAATGTGGATTGTTGGAGTGTTTTATAATTTAAAAAAAATATTTGGGGTATTTAATTAAATTAATAAATTTAGAGGTTAAAAAAAATTAAATAATATTAAAAATAGTATTCCCAAAAAAAGAGATTTTGGGTATTTTACTATTAACTTTTTAGAATACTAAAATAATTCCCAATCTTGAACCAAACGGAGGCTTTAAGATCATTTTTTTAAATGTAAACTGGGAGGCCTGACAAGTTAATTTTTCTCCAGATGATCCACTTGCAAACAAAAAGTCTATAGAGTATAGATAAGAAAAAACACCAAACCAAACATATCTTATTTCTGCTCTGCTAACTCAACCTCTTTGAAAGCGCGTGTAACACTATCTAATTGCCGACCAACAAGTGGTGATTTGCCTTGGAGAGAACTGAAGGCTTGAGAGGAAGTGGGGCGTGAGAGGGTTCTCATGGCGGAAAGGAATGGAAACCACTAAAGCACGAAAAGAGTTTGAAATCAAAAATGTTTAAGAAAGAGACAACCATTCAAGCATGCAAAGCCTCCAAAACATACCTTTCTTTCTATCTTTTTTTGGGTATTTTCCGTCTGTTTAATAATTTTTTTATAATAAACAAAAAAATTAAAATAATTACAAATTTATCATTTGTTAACTTTTTTCACAAATACGATATATTAATTCGTAATAAATTTATCTTATATAACACATATCCCAGATCAAATGTCAACTAATCAATTATAACTGCTAAATTAAATTGAAGAAAGACTTTATTTATTTCTCCAAGTATGTTGCTTGTTCAATAACCAAAACCTTCTCCTTGAATTCCTCTATAATATTTCACAAAATCATTAAATTTTTCTTGGTAGACGATCTGTCTGTTTTCTAAATTTGAAAGAAAAAAGAGAAAAGAATTATATAAAAAAATTATAGAATTAAAATTTTGGATGATATGTTTTGTCAAGGCTGCTAGTAAACATTGATTGAATTGTACAGTAACTTCAACTCAATTATAATTATGAAAATGAAACAAATCTTAGTAAACAAACTGTTCATAATCTTCTCTCTCTGAATCAAGTTACCAACTTCAATCTGAATACTCTTTACTTTTCCTTTCCTATCTGGAATTTCTCTCTCTCTCTATTTATCTTCTTCTTTTTCTCTTCTTTCTTTTCACACACTTTCCCCCTCATTTCCTTTCAATCTCTCTCTCTCCCTCTATTTTTTCCTTTCCACCTTCTTTTTCTCTTGTCTCACACTTTCCCTCTCATTTCCTCTCCAATCCCATGACCTCCTTCTCTCCCGTGACTTCTTCTTGCTCTTCTTCTATCATCTCTTTAACCCTTCAATCTTACCATTTCTCATGACTCTCTTCACTCTGCGCAACTCCTTATCTCCACCACCGCCCTTCAGTTTTAGCCACAACAACAACCAACCTTCATCATCATCATCATCATCATGCGCTCTCCACACCCACTTCGCAACGGCGACACTCCCTCTCCTCTCCCTCGAATTTCTCACTTTCAGTCCACTTTGTCCGTACAGAAACTCAGACGATTCAACTCACTGATTCTCGTCTTCCGACTTGCAACCTTTTGTTTCACACTTGCTGCTTCCGTTTTCATGCTCACTAACTCTCGTGGATCCGAATTGCCTCGTTGGTTTGATTTTGATGCTTTCAGGTACACCCTTATCTACTCCACTCTCTAGTCATTAATTTTCTATTTTTGGTTGCTCACAAAAACTTATGACAAAAAATAATTGCAGAGTTGTTTTTGCTGCAAATGCAATAGTAGCCATTTACTCTCTCTTCGAAATGGGCGTCTCGGTTTGGGAAATTTCTAAAGGGACAACATTCTTCCCCGAAATTTTTCAAGTCTGGTTCGATTTCGGTCATGATCAGGTCCAATTAAACACCTTTAACAGTAATTACAATAGTATTTAAACATTTTTTTTTTTAGGTTAACCTAAAATTTTGGGTTTTATCTGGGGGGGTTCTATAGGTATTCGCATACCTGTTACTGTCGGCGGACTCGGCGGGGACGGAGCTGGCCAGGACATTGAAAGACAAGGACACGTGTACGGCGTCAAATGCGTTTTGTGTGCAGTCCGATATTTCAGTGGCCTTGGGATTTGCTGGGTTTCTGTTTCTGGGGTTTTCGTCTTTGCTGTCGGGGTTTCGGGTAGTCTGTTTTTTAATCAACGGCTCTCGTTTCCATCTTTAGTGAGTGAGGGAAGAGAGGGAATGTTTGTGATGTGTGAAGGTGTTGGCTACTTACTGTGTACCTTAGGTGATTTGGACTGATCTGATTATGTGTTGTGTGATTGAGCTCAACCGACTGTGTACATTGAGAGAGTGCATTCTTTTTCTGTAATTGCTAACTTAATTTAATTAGTTGTTATAATATCATTTTTAATTAGATTCCTAAAGTGTTTAGATATTTTTTACTCAATTGGTCAAATATCTAGTTAAAAATTAAGAAAAAAAAATAGAGATATTTGTGTTATTCATTAATTTGTTACACGGTTGGTCAAACATGTATTTAAAATTTAAGAAAAAAAAACTTGGGCTATGTTTTGAGTAATTAAATTTACTTTAACAAGGTATGCATAAAGAGAACAGAGAATCCTGATTTTTTTTTTCTAACTGAGGTATTTAGGTCAATTTACACTCACTTTAATTAATTCATCAGAATCTTAGAACTAACGACCGGATGAAAGTTTTAACATCTACCCCTACTAACAATCGAAGAGTCAAGAGAATCTTGAAGTTGATGGTTGGTGATTTCGAGTGAGTATCCAAATTATTATAGACATGTCACAACTTAGTGGCGATAATGCTGAATGATGAGTGCACTTTAGAATGATTTGATTATATGAAGTTACTTGTCACTTAAGAATGATGTTCTCATATCTATAAAAGATATTGCTCAATTTTTTCATAATCATCAGAATGTTGATATTTTCACAACTAATAATACATTATATAAAGACATCTTCCACCATTATAGTTAAAGAATAGAATAGCAAAGTACTAACCAATTCCACGGAGTCACTTAAAGATCAATCAAAATTATACTCCAAATCTAACATGGTTTAAAAATCCTTTAGGTTACAGTATCTTCAAAAAAAAGGCATAACATGGCAAATTTTAGTTGACTTCATATTTTGCATCAGCCATCACATAATGGTAAGCAATAACCATTACAAATATGAAAATGCCCAACATATTGGCAAAAAATCCCAATTCTTGATCTCCAATCATCTGCAGAAGCACGAATTATATCCAAAATATATTAGTACTAAACCCAGAATAATAACCTCAACCCCATGATAGGGCAACAAAATTTCTATTGCTCTAACAGATATTCTCAATATAAACAGTCACAGTAAAAACATAAGTAATAAGCTAAGAGATTTTGTAGAATAATTTCCACATTAGAAACCTAAAGAAATTCACAATCTTAATACCCATGTATAACAAAGAGTTAAGAATTATCTCAGCTAGAATCCACCATAGGAGGTGATACANTCAATATTTTAGTCACAGTAAAAACATAAGTAATCAGCTAAGAGATTTTGTAGAATAATTTCCACATTAGAAACCTAAAGAAATTCACAATCTTAATACCCATGTATAACAAAGAGTTAAGAATTATCTCAGCTAGAATCCACCATAGGAGGTGATACAAATGATGGCAAGTTATGTCTTTTAGGCACAGACATAATATACTCTACTTCATCGAATAGTAACTCAAGTTCATATGGCCTCTTTTAAGTCATTATAATTTCGTGTAGAAGAATCTAAATACACGTATCCATTATTGAAAACAAAGTGAATCCAGACTATCATTCAAAAGACCTATTAATACAGACAACTTGCCGTAAACACGCTATACATTAAACATAAAGAAGCATTCGCAAGAATGCCATGGTACATTTCTCGTTCAATATTTCTCCACAATAAAATCTGCTAACTACTAATCCGATCACATTAATATTCCAATTGCCTTTTGTGTTTACTTTTCTCACAACAGAGACAAAGTCATTATATAAATGGACATGGAGAATCAGTGACTCCTGATAATTAAACCTGATAACTGGTGATATCAGTAAAAGCGTACCCTAAAACGTTAATACCATTTCCAAATATCAATTCACATTACTGGATCAACATCTTTCTATTCATGTGAATAAGCATTCTAACAATCTCCATTGAGGTTCACACTTCACATAACCCAAAATCAATTGAAATTCAAACTCTCAACTACTTAATCAACAACCAAAAAAAAAAACGAAAAAAACTCACATGGCACAAGACCACAACACTATGAAATTTATAATCCTCTAAACAATGACTGCCACAAGTCAATAAACAGCTTTTACAAAGCAAAAACAATGATCATTATCCTATTTACAAGATTTTAACAAACAACAAGAACAAAAACAAATGCGATCGCAGTGGGATTCGAACCCACGACCTTTAGATTCGGAGTCTAACGCGATATCCACTCCGCTATGCGATCTTATTTGTTTCATTTTCCAATTCCGTCATACACATTTCATATCTTACACTAACCGTAAAGTTCAAGAAAAATGCAGAACGCTATGATCTCTAACAAATTCACAACAGACACAATTTGAAATTCCAAAGAACAAATCAAAAACATAAACAAAAGCTTCCCATCTTGATCATAATTTACGGATCCTTAAAGGTTTTGTTCAAGATGTACAATTAAAATCTTGATTTTCACGGCGTAAATAGAAAAAGAAACGAGGAGAGACAGAGAGAGAGGCGTACCTTTAGGTTTCGATGGAATGAGAAAGCGCCAAGGCCAGAAGTATTGACTAGATCTCTAAATAACAACAAATGACTGCTGAAGTCTGCGACTCCGAATTCCGAACACTTTGTTTTGCTTTGAAAAAAAAACGACCGCGTTTTGATCATGGGCCGCTTAAGTATGTAGACGGGCTTTGTGCTTTTACTATATTTGCCCAATTACTCGGAGTCTGATTTGTACTCTCTGAAATACTGGATCTCAGTTTGGTGACATAGTTTCATTTTCTGTAATAGAGTTTTATGAAATGACTCTTTTAACCCCCTTTTTTTTGTATTTGTGATGAATTATACTTACTTATAAACAATATATGTTAAGGTGATGTGTATGAAGAAATAGTGAAGGATACTCATCCTATGTACGAAAGTGAAGGTAAAAGAATCATTTCATATGATTTTGTTAGAGAAATCTTCTCTCCTTAGCTTGTGCTTTTTACTAATGTTTAAAACCTCAGGGGTATGCTTAATGAAAGCACCTCGATTTAGAATCATTTGTGATTTTTAAGAACTCTAGGGTGGTTTATGAAATTATCCTAAATTTTTAATCCGACATTTTCGGATTTAATTTAGGCACTTCTTAACCGGAGAGAGTGCCGAGTCAATTAGTCAAATACTGTGTGTTGGATCTGACGTAGCGGATAAACTGTCATCAAATACCCGTCATTTTACAATTTCCTCGTTTGTTAAATATCAGCTGTATCTTGCGTGGCAGTTAATTTTCCCACCTATAATATAATCTTATTTAATATTACTAATGAAATAATAATCAGATGCACACCTGACCACACCCAATTCCTGCTACCTCCAATCAACTATCTCTAGCTTAATAATTTTCAACTATCGGAATTGACCAATCTCAACTTGTCTGGCAAGAACAGAGACTCAATCGTACCGAAACAAATCCAATAAACAAGGATAAAGTAGACACGTAAGGATTGCATGTAAAACAACAATTGTTACAGCTTACGTAATGAGATACGACGTGTCGTACTATGAATGAAGCTTGAGTTTGGTTGTCATCCGCAACCGCAACTCAAAACTCTTTATCATCAGATTGAGTATAAATATTGACTTTCTTCAAGTCTTGTAGTTGTCTTATACCAAACGTCCAAACCTTTTTCAAGTCATAATCTCAATTCAAGGTGATTAACTAGTCGCTAATTCTTGATTTACTTTAATTAATTTTTTTTTTTTTTGGGTTGTCTGAGCAATGTGAGTGTGGCTATTAGATTTAGATCTGAAAGTTGCTGTGGGGTCTACTTTGTTAATGTGAAGCTTTCATTACTTTCTGTGCTTTCCTTGCTTCTGAAGATTTCATTGAATTAACAGCTTAGTTTGGTGCCGTTTGGTAGTTCAATTTTATTTTATTTTGTTTTATATTTTAGATGGGTGATGTTTAGTTTTGTATATAAAGCTTCAAGTTTTGAGTTGTTTGTGTCATAAAAAAATTCTGGGTGTTTTTAGTTTTGTGGTATACTCTCAGGTGATTTGAGTTTTGGGTTGTTTTATTGATCTGCTTGTGAGGTTGAATTTAAGTTGTGTGAGTGTTTTGTATTCGGGTTTTGAATGATATGATGGTTAATTGCGAGTTTTATTGTTTTGTTTAGTGATTCAAGAATGGCTCAAGAAGCTTCAAATGGAAATCACAACGCCGCTAAACCACCTCCAACTCCATCTCCCTTGAGATTCTCAAAATTTTTCCAGGTAATTTTTGGCTACAATCTGTTTCAGATTTTGCAAAAAAAATATGTTTGACGATCCTGTTAATTGCTTATTAATGTATTTCTCAATTGGTATTTTAAACTGATTTCAACATGGTCAACGTTTTTTGTGTTCACTAGCTGTGTGTAATTGTTAGTTCTTGAATTGCCTTTTGGGAGTATACAGCATTTGGCTTTTTAATTATGTTTAAAGTTTTGAATTTAGATCCTTGAGATCTGAGAAATTCCAATGGCAGATCTTTGTGTCACTGGTAATTGGCACAATTTGTCCAAGAAGCAGTGACAAGATTTTGTCGTATTAGCTCAGCTTGTGAATTTAATATGTACTCTCCTTTGTTTGTTTGGCAGTCTAACATGAGGATTCTGGTTACTGGAGGAGCTGGATTCATTGGCTCTCACCTAGTGGACAAGTTGATGGAAAATGAGAAGAATGAGGTAAATGCCTCTTCTCCTAATTATGAATAGCAATCTACAGTGTGACTGTCTTACTCAATGTTTAGATACTTATACGTTCACTTCGCTCTTGCCATCAGGTGATTGTTGCTGATAACTACTTCACTGGCTCAAAGGACAACCTAAAGAAATGGATAGGTCACCCAAGATTTGAGCTTATTCGTCATGGTATGTCCTCTTATAGTTTGTAACATATTCAATGGCGTAGATATGAAACTATTGAGTGCTTCCATGTGAATTTATCATATGTCCTTTCGGATTTCGAGCCCAGGCCTTTGATTATTAAGGTCAGCGGTTGATAAAACAATGTGTTCGTTTCACGCAGATGTCACAGAGCCATTGTTGATTGAGGTTGATCAAATATACCATCTTGCTTGTCCAGCTTCTCCAATTTTCTACAAATACAATCCTGTAAAGGTGTGTATATCTGTATTTAGTGTAAAAATGTGTGTTTCTATGATATTTTGCATGAAGTTGTGTTTGACTTGAAAAATTTTTTTTAATTTGACAGACTATAAAGACAAATGTGATTGGTACATTGAATATGTTGGGACTTGCCAAGCGAGTTGGAGCAAGGTTTGAGACTACAACTTGATTTCTTTGATATAGACTTATAATGTATTATTCTGTTGCTCACAATATGGTAATTCGTTATAGGATTTTGCTTACTTCAACTTCAGAGGTTTATGGAGACCCTCTTGTGCATCCCCAAGTGGAGAGTTATTGGGGAAATGTCAACCCAATTGGTAGGTTCTCTCTGTTAATAGCTGGCACATTTTAATGAATTGGAAAACTTGGACAATGCTATTAAAATGGTTTCAATGCCTTTTGAAAATAAGTGTATATTACAACTTGATCTGCAGATTCTGCACAGTGTAGCATTCCCATTCTAGTGTTTTTCATGGTGTTTTGTGAGATTCACATCTTGTAAAAGTGATAATTCTACAGTTCTAGGTGTGATATGTGTGACACAATGATTAAAATAGCATCACATATTATTGATTTCTGTCTATATTTTCAGGGGTCAGGAGTTGCTATGATGAGGGAAAACGAGTTGCCGAAACTTTGATGTTTGATTACCATCGGCAGCATGGGATAGGTAATATTGCTATTGCCACCTCAATGAAATACTGCCATGTTTGATTACCATCTGCAGCTTGTTTGAAAAATGCTGACTTTCCATCAAATTAATGATGTAACAGAGATTCGGATCGCTAGGATTTTCAACACCTATGGACCCCGCATGAATATTGATGATGGCCGTGTTGTCAGTAATTTTATAGCTCAAGCAGTCCGGTAATTTCTGTTAAAACCTCACCAGGGTTTGTAGATCATATAGATGTCTACAAGCAATTTATTCTTTTACTCTTCTTTTCCACATTGTTTGCATTTGTCATGTACCATATTGTTATTCTATCATCATCTCTTGATTGCAATGTATCACTCTGGCATTTATTCACTTTAGCAGTTTTAAGCTCTATAGTAAAAATTCTCTCTTGTGCCTGCTCATCTTGTGCAGTGGTGAGCCCTTGACTGTTCAAGCACCTGGAACTCAGACTCGGAGTTTCTGCTATGTTTCAGATATGGTATGAAGATTAAATTATTTGTTTAATTTTTCATATGACTTGTCTATTTCACTGGTATATAGGCACTGAACTTTATTTCAAATGTTGAAGGTGGATGGCCTTATTCGGCTTATGGAAGGAGAGAACACTGGACCAATCAACATTGGGAATCCAGGTCATCGTATATGCTTTCTTTTATACTTAACAAGAAGAAAATGTTCTTATTAGTTAGAAATTCTTTTGTTCCCATCATTAACTTAGTATTCTATATTTTCAGGTGAATTTACAATGCTTGAACTTGCGGAGACTGTTAAGGAGGTCAGTTTTCTAGACTCTTTTCACCCTAAATGTTAACATATTTATTTCTTATAAAACAAACTTGAAAATAACTTGACAAGTAACTATGGCGACTCAAATACTTGATCATGTGTTTCACAGCTTATCAATCCTTCTGTGGAGATCAACATGGTAGAAAACACCCCAGATGATCCTCGCCAGAGAAAGCCCGACATCACGAAAGCCAAAGAGTTGCTTGGATGGGAACCAAAGATCAAGCTGCGTGATGGCCTTCCCCTTATGGAGGATGATTTTCGGCTGAGGCTGGGTGTCGGTGTTGCCAAAAAGAGCTGAACTTCGCTAAAGTATAAATATTACAGGCGGGCTTATATTCCGTCAAAATCTGAACTCGAGTTCTGGACTCCTGAGAGTTTCTTCAAATACCATACACTATGCAGTACAATAATGGAACCAGTTGTTTTTTATTATAAATCCATATGACCATTGCATATTTTCCGTACTTTTGGTGATGGGATTTACTTTGATATAGTGAAAGAAGCAGGCTTTTCTTAATTTCTTGGCGAGAGTTTTTACAGTGTGTTGTGTTGATTTTGATTAGCTTCCTGTTTGATCAATTGCTTTTGTTTCTATGTTGGGTGCTTTTAACTGTTGAACGCATCAATCAAGCTTTTGTTATAGCAATCTCTCATTTATGTTATTCAATTCTTCTTGGAAATACATCTCACAATGTGTCTTCTTACCTCAAGTGATAAAAAATTGTCAAGCCAACTAAAGAGAAGAAATACAGGACAAATAATATTTCTCTCGAGGACCATAAAATCAGTATTTTCTTTAAACTACCTACAAAAAATCCAAAATCAAAGAATAATGTACTGCAATGTCAAACAATTACCAAAAGCAAAATTTCTATAAATTTAAACTGTGGTTTAAATACAGAGAGATTGTACTTTTTAAGCTTCTGCTACTGCTTTAGCCTTTGGTTTCCCTTTGTTTTTCTCGACTTGTGTGGCTGCTGGTTCACTTTTATCTTCCGTTTCTGCTCTCTGCTCAATCCTTGCAAAGATCGGTTTAGGTTGAGCCATCACTTGACCGCCCTTTAGTCCACCCCACTTAGTATCACTCTGCATCACAAAATCATTCAATCAAGTTATTCAAAATAGATAAATAGCGGCAATTTGTGTTTCAGCTACTACTGAGAATGAGTGACAGACCCAGTTTGCACTGTTAAACTGGTCTTTAGAGTAGCCAATCTGTTCTTATATTCTCCAACTTAAGTTCGGTGTAACAGGAGATAACGCGATTGCTATTATTCTCATTGCTTCCAATATAATTACAAGATCCTGCCCAAAGTGAAAAGTTAATTCAGCCTTACTACTAGTTCTCAACAATATGAAATGTGAGCAATAATAGGTTTGCCGGTAGTCTCAATTGAAGACATGATTATACGGTGAGTAAATAAGAGACATAAAGTATGTCATGTAAAACATCTCGTCAAAGGATATAATTTTCAATAGAAACCTTGGCTGCAGTTTCAGAAGCAGCACCCCCTTGCTTAAAAAGTGACCATGGCGCTCGTTCATCCATGTAGGAATTCCCCGCATTACCAATTTCCAGCACAGCCTCACACGCTGATGACAGTGATAGGTTTTCGTAATGAAACCTTGCATTTTCAACCTACAAAAGTAAAAACAAGAAGAAGTTAGGATCACCTGACATGCTGACATAGAAAACAAATAAAAGCTAAGTGAATAGTTGAGGCTGTGAGATTAGCTTGTTCGTTCAAAAGCAGGAAGAAAGTACAGCACGGAGTGGAACTTAATGGATGAAACATGGCATCAAAATTAAGCAAACTTACCAGCTTTTCCACATTGTCCTTGAATGCAGTTCCCTCAGCAGCAATAGTTGAATCAACCACCAACGTTGATTGGCAATTCTTTCTAAGAAGCCCAAGAGTACGGTTAAGAAGATTTCCTGCATTACATACAATCATATCGTCAATCTTGGATTACGAATCCAAAGGATAAACAGAAAAGTAACCCCAGTTGTACAAAAGAAAACACAATTATAATAACTCAAACATACCTATAGTATTGGCAAGATGCGCATTGACAATATTGATAAAACGGTCCTCTGAATAGTCCCCATCGTTACCAAATTCCACCTCCTTGAGGAAGAAATATCTGACTGCATCAGGACCAAAATTATGGACCAATTCATTTGGTTCAAGTGTATTGCCCAGAGACTTCCCCATCTTCATGCCATCCTATAATTTTCAAAATAAAAATCATTGCTGCATCAAAAAAACCAGGTGTATAAGAAAAAATAATGTTAAAAGATTTCTCACTTGCTCACTCTTGTCATATTAGACAAGCATAAGAAGAACATATCATTTTTCCCTATTCAAATCCCCCACCAGATTTAACTCTGAAATCTAGATGTACAATGTAATTACAAAGATCCTTCCTTGAGTGACTCAACCTTTCAATATTTTGAATCCCACACTTACGTATAAGAGATATTGGATGTCAATATCCTCCACACTGATATTTCATTCTACAATTACGACTGAAACAAGTAGGTGGTCTATGCAAGGAGGGGAAGAAAAAGAAAAGAGTAACTCTGATAGTGCTCATATGATTGTCCTAAAAAAGAACCATACCATGGCTATCTTTTGGAGTTTCAAAATTTCTAACACATGATCAGTTTTGTGTCTTGTGCATCGTGAAAGAAATTCAACTTTATCAACCAATTTGGAATAACATTGGAAGCTGCTCCTCTCAATTCTTTCGACTTCCACAAAAGAATACCCAATGAGAGCCAATTGTCAAAATAATTAGGAGAGTTCCCAAAAATTTTTTTTAAACAAACCTAGAAGTTTGAAACCAGTTCCCACTGTTGCATTTTGATATTTACATACCTTTGTCAAGAAACCATGGCCAAACACCTTCTTAGGAATGGCTAGTCCAGCCGACATTAACATAGCCGGCCAGTAAACTGCATGAAAACGTAAAATATCCTACAGAAGGACCAACAAAACATAAGAGTAGTATCATAATTCTGTTCAAGCATGTACAAGGGGAAAGAAGAATCACACAGTTAACCAAAGAACAAAAGAAGTGAATAAAAAGAAAAGAAAGGACTTTAGCACTGGATTTCAAGAAACTAAGAAGCAGGTTAAGATAAAATCACCACCAAAAATGAAGGGTTTTCACCTCGAAACAATGGGATATCTACCATATTCATTCCAAGTTTTTTTTTCATTTGCATTTGTCAAAAATTTGAAGTTTCAATATCTACTATACCTTGGAAATGGAAAACCAATCTTAAAAACAATAAAATTGCTGTACCTTGCCAATCAAGTGCAGTGATGCAGGCCAACCTGAAGAAACAGCAGTTTGCAAATTAGGTTGATCCTTGTTCTCTGATAGAGCTGATATGTAACTGCTTAACATAAACAGTAAGAACCATCTTAATTAAGAATTAAGCTGAGAGACTAATATTATTTAGAATAAATGGATGAAAGGAATATACCCCAGCAAAGCATCAAACCAAACATATACAGTTTGCTTATCGTCATTAGGAATAGGAATTCCCCAATCAACAGATGCTCGAGAGATAGAAAAATCCCTTAAGCCGCTTTTGATCCAGCTTTGCACCTGGAGAATAGATAGAGCATAAATGAAATTCTAGTAAGGAACTATCATCAAAAGAAGTTTATAGCTAAACACAAAAGAAATCTGTATCATAAAAGATGCTAGACTCAAATGCATGATAAAATCTTGAATACAACAACAAACAGAAAATTTTCCATAAAGTCTCACCTCATTTAAACGAAAAGAGGGCTGCACAAAATCTGGATTCTGTGTCAAAGTTTCTTCCAATTGTTTTTGATACTTTGACAAGGCAAAGAAGTAATTATCTTCCTTCCGTGCAACACATGGCTTTAGATGTATTGGACAATAGTGGTTCTCCAGTAGCTCTTTCTCATCCTAAAGAAAATACAAGAGCAAATGATATCATGTCATTGAGAAACAGAAAAAACTACTTTCACAGAACTAGAGAAAGAAGGATGCAAATAATATATTACATGGGCATTTATTTACATTTAAGTGTTTAATGAAATTGAAAGGAATGCTATAACAAAAACCTATACTCAATTATATCTTCTCATTCTCCAGTGACAATTGAACCCAAATTATCAAAAACCAAAAAACTAAATGGAAATCACCAATTAATCTGCAATAATAAATTATAAGTTTTTACCCTAGAGGCCCAGATTGCAATAAAAACAAAGCAGACAGAAACACAATTTACTACCTTATATTCCTCACAGTTAATACAGTACAGACCCTCATAGTCAGCCTTGTAAATGTCACCATTGGCAAGAACCCTAGAATAAAATTCCTTCACAATTTCTTCATGTTTGGGGTCAGTTGTCCGAATAAACTTGTCGTATGCAATGTCTAACTGCAATCAGCAAGTAAAAGACACCAAAAAATGTAAATAATTACAGCTGTTAGAACATTCAAAACTTTTTATCAAAGAGTGAAATCTTATGATGGAGAACGAAATTACATCTTTCCAGAGTGTCTTGTACGCTTGAGATATAACCTCGCAGTGTTCACTAGGACTTGAACCACAGGCTGCGGCAGCGGCAGCTATCTTTTCTCCATGCTCATCCGTGCCAGTGACAAATACAACTTTCTTTCCCGAGAGCCTCTGCCATAAAAAATGAACAATAAGAATTAGCCATTTGAACCAAACTACAATCAAGAAAGTCAGTTCACATTGTTTACAACTTTCATGCCACTAACTTAAACAACAAAAGAAATGCAGTGTCGATTAATTTCCATGGTCTAAAAACACCATTTCCTACAAAAGTTAATTCAAGTTTCAAGTCAAATTTTTGAACTTTCAACTAAATTCAAGTTACAAAAGCACACCAAAATTGCTTCTTTTCAAGGTATTCAGTTTCAATTTGAGCAATTAACACCAGTAAGATTATTCATTTTCTGCACTAATACTCCTTTGGAACTTAAAATGAAAGTCTTATATCATTTTCTTTCTAGTCGATTAACAAAATCAGAAAAAGAATAAAAACGAGTAAAGAAAAGTCTAAAATAGAATCCCCAAGGTTACCTGAAATCGAGCAATAGCATCAGCAGCAATAGTGGTGTAAGCACTGCCCATGTGAGGAGGGGCATTAACGTAATAAAGAGGGGTTGTGAGGACAAAAGAATCAGTAGAATCAGTGTTGGTCTTATCATTATTGGTTGAGCAAGTACAGAACATGGCTCCTTTTGATAGAGAAAACAGGTTTTGTCGAAATTTAAGACGATTCCTGAAATGGGTTGTGGCTTTGGAATTTAAAGGGTTCAATAACCAGAGACTGTTTTGTATCGAAGTCGAACAGTTTATTCTTGCTGCCATTTCTTCTCCTTCGGCCCTGTTTCACTGTCTGCTTCTATTTTGTTCACTGTCTGTGGTTCATATGCGTGAAGTGATAAATTGATGTTGGCATAATTTAAAAAATTGCCCCTCACCTTTGCTCAATGTTCACCCTCATTTCACTTATGCAGGGTATTATCAAATACTACCCCCGAACACGGTTAATTTGATTTCCATCCTAGTTGGGTTAAAGAAGCCCAATCAAATCCAACCTTGTTGCTTTGCCCCAAATGTTCACTGCTACTTTTGTCCTCCCAAAAAACAAGGAAAATTAAATCCAATCAGTGTCATCTTAAAAATTCGAAACCATTTCTAAAGAGAAAAAAAAAAATAAAAAAAAAATCTGAGTCAACTTATCACATAAGAAAATCTAACCACTGTAGGGGGGGTAACAAAGTAATTTACAAAGACTTCAAAATTCTAGGCAAATAGAGTTTTGAAGATGTTAGGGCTCAGGGGCAGTTTATGACGATTTCCTACATCAGTGTCATGACTTACTGTTAAGTAAACATCAGGCGTAGTTTTTGAAGTTCCTCCTCCTCCTATGTACAACAAATTTTTTACTGCTTGTTTTGTGTTCTACAAGTTACTTTCATAAGGCAGAGAGGAATCCGGTTTGATTTGAAGTTCCTCCTCCTATGTACAACAAATTTTGAACTGCTTGTGCTTGATTTGTGCTTTACAAGTTACTTTCATAAGTAAGGTAGAGACGGAATCCGGGAAACATTCGTTTTGAGCCTCAAAACGATGGTGGCACAGTTGCAGTTGCCCAGACGGAAAATTAGATGCCAAAATTGAATTTTCACGAAATATCATGTATTTAAGGCTCCTACTACAATTTTTATCCATATTTGAAGGCCATCGACTTGTGAAAGTGAACCTTATAAAAATAACATTCCTTTAAATCTATCAAATGATAAACTGAATCTCATTTTCTTGTGTGATAACTGGGTTGCAACTTGCAGGGGCAAGCTCGTGGAAAGAAACAGGAAAAGAATCATCATTTCCTTCAATAAAAGAATTTCAACAAGAACACAGGGTTATGAGAGTTGAACTGTAATAAAGCCACATCACTATCATTGTTTTAAAAACCGAACCAGAAGGCAACCCGCTCTGATGGCCCGGTCATGGTTCAACCGGTCCAACCGGTTAGACCGTCGGGTGAACCGATGGTTTGACAGGTTTAAAATCTAACAAAAACATCCCTGATAAATATCATCAAACCCTATAAATTTGAAATCTAGCAAACACAACCTTGGCCAAATGCAAATCGGAGATCGATTGGGAGAGCAGCGATGACACACCAGGAAGGGTAGATCGGATGATGGGGAGGGCAAATCGGCAGCTAGTAAGTAGGCATCGCAGGAAAATGGCAGATCGGTGGTGGCTTTTTTTGGTGAGATGACTGGATCTTCGTGAACGACGACAAGGGAGCTTGGGAGAAGGTAGATCGGTGGCTGAGGAAACCTGTCAATACCGGAGAAGGCCGATCGACGCCGAGAAATGGAAGAAAAATCACGCAGCAAAGATGGACGACGAAACATCATGAGGCGGCTGGAGATGAAGCGTGACAGCACCGAAGAAAGTCAGAACTCAGAGGGTGGTTTCCGATAGTAAGGGAAGGTGGAAGGTTGCCGAAAAAGGGGAGGTCATTGCCGATTTGCATTTGGCCAAAGGGTGTGTTTGCTAGATTTGAAACCTTCAGGGACTGATTCGTATAAATCAAAAGTGTGTTTATTATATTTTAAACTTGAAACAGTTAAAAAGAGTGACCCGACCCGCTGAAGGCCCCAGGTCCCGGTCTGGTCCGGTTTTTAAAACAGTGATCACTACATCATGTAAAGAAAATCCACCAAAGTTCCAAAATGCAAATGGTTCCTTGAGCGATTGAATCGTACTGTCCCTGCAAATTCATTCTCAAATTTCCTGCCTTTTTCAGTTAAATGGGCATGCTCATCGAAACAAATATAGAAGGCATAATTTTCAAAATTTGCTGGATAAATGGATAATATGTGGTACTTGTTTTACAGAGAATTATTTCAGGAAAATGCATTCATCCTTGCCTCCCTTGGGCTTTGAATAAACAGGTCCAAACAATAGAGCATTGGCTACAACTGAGGAAATGCAGTCTATATCATTCTTTATGACAATTGACAACCAGGAGAATTCTAAAAAGAAAAAAAAAATGTGAAACTGTGAAGAGGCCTGCACTGCCAATGCAGAGATTTTTCAGCAACAATCCACAGAGCATATGCAAATTCACCTGTACAAACATTGAAACATTAATAAAATGTTGCAACAAGAAACCATGACCGGGTTAGGCATCACATGCAGATGATAGTGAAACACTGCTATGCTGTTCAATCCCTAAATGATTCCCTAGCTCGCCAAGTTACCATATATAATTTTATTCACCACTTTTAGACACCCTTAATGGCTCAATTTGCATTTCTCGAAAGGCACTACAATCACAACTAACACTTCAAAGCAACAAAATTTGGAAAAGGACTCCATAACTAGAATACTTTGCAAGAGAATATAATTAATTTGGTGATGATAACCAGGCACCCTAAGATCTAAAAAACACCTAATATTAAGTTATACATCACTATTAGTCTTGTAAATATTCAACGTATCCAAGCCCTCAACAACTTGCTTTACTGCTGCTTTCTTATAAGCAAACAGTGTTTTCAACAACTATCATATGTCTTCTTCAAGGTCTCCAATTATGTAAATTTTTTGTCCCTAACCTTGTATTTTTAGCCATTCAGTGAGACTATCCTACAAAATTTGACCCCAGCAATGCAATGCCCTCAATACTGTTCACCAAAAATAAGCTCTCAAAAGAGCTATACTTATTTGGTAACACAAAATTAGAGCTTTCATATCCAAATTGAGTAAAACTAGAACAAACACTATGTCCCATCCAACCAATTCCGATCTTATTCAAATTTATTTCACATCAAATACCCAAATGACATTTATCCACTTAGAGCAAATGAGCCTCAAAACTTTTCAACTAAATTATCATAATCAGCTAAACCAAAACAACCGCTAAGCAAAAATTTTGAAATATTTTTTTATTAACACCTGAATTTATCCACAAATAATGGCGTAAATTCAATTATGAATCCATTAAAATTAAAATCTACAGCTAAGGAAACAGATAAACTCAAAAAAATAACAATTAAACAAAAAGAATCTAGGGTTTTGATGCGTACTTCCTGTGCCTCTGCACGAACGGAGAATTCTTAGCGTCCTCCTCTGCGCGTGATTTCAACGAGAAAACAGTAAATCAAATTATATCAAATATAAAAAAAAATCACAGTATCAATATTAATAGATTTCATGAGGTTACCTGTTAACCCGAGAGAAAATTTAGTGATAATAGCGCCGGTGATTGCGAAGCCAACCAGAAATGGCCAGTTTCGGTTCCATTCTCTCCTGAAGAAAACGGGCCACAGATCAAATTTTCTCATTTTTTTTTTTTTTTTTTTTTTCCTTGTGATCTCGTAAAACACAAGCGTGGTTGTTCGACTGTAAATAATTTGTGAGTAATTGTTGACGATGTTTGTTGAGAGCCCTGTAATAGGTGGCCTCAAACTATCAGGTCGGATCGATCCGGTTTAAACTTTGAATCTGACGGGTTGGGCTAATTTAAGCTGCAGGCCCGGCCCATCTGTGGAGCTATCTAGCCTACCCTATCAATCCCGTTACCTAATGAATAAAACTATGTGCACTAACCATTTTGTACTAATCAAAGTACTAATATTAAAAATTTGAAATTCTTAGTACAAATACTAACATTGAAAATTTGAAAGAAGAATTTCAAATTTTCAATATTAGTACTTTGATTAGTACAAATTAGTTAATGCACATAGCATTACTTCATACTCTCTCTTTTATTTTCTAAAATATCTTTGTAACTCAATACGTACCTTTCATTTCCAAATATTATTTCCTATATCATCTAACGCAAATAAGGTCTATCCAATTTGTGATCCATAAATAATTTTCATTACTAGAATACGATTCAAATTTTTTAGATGTATCTTAATACTTTTAGTATTTGAAAATATGTTTGATATGATATTTAAAAATCGTTTTAAGATCAAAAACTATAAAATCTTATGAAAACGACTTTTAATTGTTTTTTAATTTTACATTAGTTTATACAAGAAGTGAAGATTTATGAATATATACACATATATAATAGGGTTTTACTTAGAACTAGAGATGGCAATGGGTCCGACATTTTCGAGTATCTGGTCCGGCCCGACCCGAAAGAGGCGGGTTTTACCTGAGGTTGGTAGGCTTGGGCTTGGGCCTAGGCTTGATTTTAAGGCCCGACCTCGGATACGGGCCCGTCATGGGTATATTTTAGGTCCGACCCGTCCCCAAAAATTTTAGCATTAATTTTACTAATTTACCTTTATATTATATATTTAATTACAATATTATCCTATATATATCTATTTTTCCCAAACCCTAACCTCAATTTTCATCCCATATTGAAGGTTTAACATCTTAAAATTACCTTTAAATAAGTTAGATGGGTTTGGTTCAACTTATAAAAGTGGATTTCACCATAACATATTATGCACAGCTGAAAAGTTAGTATAATCAAATATTATTGAGTTTTAATTGCTCACTTATTGTTTAAATTATTTGCGGAAATAGCTTCAATTAATATTTAAAAACTATTTTTAAAATTAAAAATATAAAAAAAAATTGAAATTTATTAATATTTAAAAATAAACATTATTAAAAAAGGCAGGTTTGCGGTTATAAAAAAACTCGTCTGGTCGAGCTTGGGCTTTGCCTATTATACTCGTAACGGGCTTGGGCCTATGTCATAAGGTCAGATTTGGGCCTAGGCCAAGAGATACTCGATCCCGGCCCGGCCCATTGCCATCACTACTTAGAACTAAAATGTATTTTCCTTTATCGTAATTTCATTTAAGGTTAAAATTATAAAAAATTGGAGGCTAGGAAAACAAAAAGAAAGTGGCGGCTAAATGTCACTTTCACTTATTATTATTTTACTATACATATATTTTTAAACATCCACCTTTCGTTAGCTATAACTAAGAAAAAATGAATTGGATGTGTTTGGTGATCGGACTATGAATCAACCCCGCCCACGTTTAATACGGAATCCTTGGCTCCGAGTAATGAAACAAGGTGTCGCCTGCTCATTTTGACCTGTGATGTGAGTGAGACACGTTG